CCACAGTAACATTATCAAATCAGGTGTCGCCACCTCAAAAACTAATTTAACACGCGATCGTTCATGTCGGCTCATTTCCTTTTATGTTTTCTGTCTTTTACTCTTTTATTTGTGCCTGATGCGTTTCGCTGCTGTGGAGCGGGGCGCATCACCTGTTTTGTCCTCGGTGATGCACCTCACCGATGCGGCCGGCGAGCACTCCGCTGTTTTTGCGGTCAGTAGATCTTTTAGAACTGCAGTTCAAAGGTAACTCATGAGGTGAATATATATGAACCCAGGTAGCAGTTTCTCTTTAGGACTGAGAGGAGATGCAGGAAGATAATAAACAGGCAGGACAGAAAAATAGTCAAATAAAAACAAGTTAGTTTTTGTACCTGCTGGTTGCAACAAACAGACACCATTGAAGGTAATCAGAAGTGAGGAACAGAAAATAAAATAATTATTTTAATGTTTAGAGCAGCAGGAACTCCGAGAGGCTGCAGGCGCATCAGTGAGTTTGCAGCCGCTGCGCAGGGGGAGGGGGGAGAGGGCTGAAGCAGGGGGAGGGGGGAGAGGGCTGAAGCAGGGGGAGGGGGTAGAGGGCTGAAGAGGGGGGAGGGGGGAGAGGGGTGAAGCAGGGGGAGGGGGGAGAGGGCTAAAGCAGGGGGAGGGGGGAGAGGGCTGAAGCAGGGGGAGGGGGGAGAGGGCTGAAGCAGGGGGAGGGGGGAGAGGGCTGAAGCAGGGGGAGGGGGTAGAGGGCTGAAGAGGGGGGAGGGGGGAGAGGGGTGAAGCAGGGGGAGGGGGGAGAGGGCTGAAGCAGGGGGAGGGGGGAGAGGGCTGAAGCAGGAACTACCGTTGTTAAAAGAAATGTGTTTAACTTTGAAAATGTGGGCGCAATTTTAATTGTCAAAAACTCCAGCGAACCATTAGTTCATTTTGCCCAAATAGAAATAGAAGCCTGCCTCTAATTCTGGCCCTCCTTCCAATAAAGGCCTGGAGCTTGATGGGCTTGAGTCAAATACAGGCCCGGGCCTCTATTAGAGGATTTACGGTATAGACAATTTAGTGGGTTTCTCATCCTGATGACGAATATACAGACTAATAAACAAGTGTCCCTGTGTGTGTACACACATATCTTATGTCTTATAAGATAACTCAGTGTAGGTTTGACATTCAAAAGGTTTTAGAAAATAATATTATGCATTAGTACTTGTGTTCAATTAAATGCAAAACTAAATCTAATAAATAAATTTTTGTTTTGCTTGCAGAATATCAACATGCAAATAATTTGTCATCCTCAAGGGGGTGCTGCAGCACCCCACTTCCCACCGCCTTGCCCAAGATTTTGAATAAATTCAAATTATATTTGTCACATACACAGTACGAAATGCAGTGAAATGCCTTAGGTGTAGCTGTTGTTTTGTACCTGTGAAAGATGAAATATGGGATTTTTCTGATTTTTTTCTCCATTAATTCAAGTTCCCAGGGACAAAACACTAATGTAATTGCACCAAATGTACCTCCGTAACTTCCTCCCAACCACACCTCTCCAGGTCTCTGCCGTTGCCAACATGAGTGTTAAAGTCTCTTAGCAGACCGAACCGTTCTCAGCAAAAATTCACTGCAAGTTTTGATATTTAAGCAGATCAAAATGAACCCGAGTGCCTGTTGTCATCCACATGTCAGTCAGGGTTCAGGAAAGGTCACAGCACTGAATCTGCTCTTTTAATGGTTTTTAATGACACGTTTTTAGCCTGTGACATGGAATATGATGTTGTTCTGCTATTGCTGGACTTATCTGCAGCTTTCGATACAGTCGACCACGAAGTCCTTCTGGACCGACTACAGCATTGGGTGGGGATAACTGGGCAGGCCCTCCAATGGCTTCGCTCTTATCTTCAAGACAGGACATTTAGTGTTCAGATGGGTGAGGTAACGTCACCCAGTGTGAAACTTCGTTGGGGTGTGCCACAGGGCTCTGTCCTTGGTCCTCTCCTATTTGCAGTGTATTTGCTTCCTCTTGGAGTCCTCCTTCGCCAGCATAATATGAAATTTAATTTCTTTGCTGATGACTGCCAGATCTATCTCCCTCTTCGACGTGGGGAGGATAGATCTGTTTCTCCTTTACTGGATTGCTTGAAGGACATAAAATGCTGGATGGCTTCTAATTTTTTGCACCTAAATGAGAGCAAAACGGAAGTTATAATACTTAGCCCTGGCAGAAGAAATGGCTCTGGTGCTGATATTGACCTTGGCCCATTGACACCCTATGAAAAGAAAATGGTCAGTAATTTGGGGATTAAAATCGACTCAGCACTTAATCTTGACACTCATGTAAATACAGTGGTGAGGTCCTGTTTCTTTAACCTGAAAAGACTGTCCAGGATCACGCCTCTGCTGTCCAGAGCTCATCTGGAGGCTGTGTTGCATGCCTTCGTCCTGTCCCGGCTGGACTACTGCAACGCTCTGTCTGCTGGTCTGGCCCAGTGCACGGTTGCACGGCTCCAGTTTGTGCAGAACTCTGTGGCTAGGTTCCTGACAGGCACTAGATGTCGAGAGCACATTACCCCAGTGCTGGATGCTCTGCACTGGCTCCCGGTAAAATATCGAGCTCAGTTTAAAATCTTAACTCTCGTTTATAAGGCCCTCCAGAGCAGTGCCCCCTCGTACATTACTGCGCTTTTGAACAGGTATGCTCCATCTCGGTCTCTTCGCTCAGCCGAGCAGGAACTTCTGGTGGTCCCCCGGTCGAAATTTCGATCGAGGGGTTGTCGTGCTTTTTCTATTTTGGCTCCAACTCTGTGGAACGAATTGCCACTGAGCATTAGGCAGGCACCATCCCTTCAAGTCTTTAAGACGCTTTTAAAGACTCATTTTTATCTGATTGCGTTTCAGCGCTAGGGTCACTTGAATTGCCCTAACATTATGGTTTTAACTATTCTTCTTTTTAAACCGGATGCTTGATTTTATTTTGTCCAACATTTGTTTTTTTATCGATTGGTCTTATTCCAATGTCTCTTATCTGTAATGCTGTTTGCTTGCTATTTTATGATTTCATGTTTTTATCCTGCTTTTATGCCCATGTAATGGGAATGTTTTTCTTTTAATGATGTTGTTCAGCACCTTGGGCTTCGGATAATGTTGTAGAAGGTGCTATACAAATAAAATTTGATTGATTGATTGATTGATGTCACACAACCACACCTGTGATCTTAATCATAACTGTTGCTTCCCAACATCATTGCATCATGATTCAGCTGGAAACAATGGGAACAAGCTTCTGTTCATCATCATGGTAACACACTGGATAGCCTTTAGGTTACAGGAAAACCAGCAAAGTAAGAGAAGCAGGAAACCAACTCTTCAGTTTCCTTCATGGTTGAATCTCTTCATGAGTGTTTTACTACAAAGAGACAAAACAAAAGTTTCTGCTCACCTCATTTTCACGCTCCAGTAACCTCCTTTATCCTGGATACGGGCTGGGGATGGGGCCAGAGATGGGAATTACACACACACAGACACACACACACACACACACACACACACACACACACACACACACACACACACACACACAATGATCCAGTTCAACAAACGGTTGTAATGTTTTGATTGTACTGCAGCAGCGCTGGCTGTGGACAGACACTAGATGGTGGTACAACACCGTGGCTGTGTGTGATGTCCCTGTGTGTGTGTGTGTGTGGGGGGGGGGGGGGGGGGGGGTGTAACATGTCCCTCCTGCTCTTTGTGCTGTGTTAACTGGTCTGAGAACAGATCTCTGGGATGCTGGTGTGCACTGGATGGCTATGAGCCACTACACCATGTGATGTTCCTCTACAGTCAACATTGTCCAAACTCACATGTGAGTGCCTCCCTTTCAGCTGTGTCATGGAGCTGTAGATGTGGAAATCCACAACGGAGGCTGACATAAACTAAAGGATCTGAAACCACGTGTCACATGTCTCCATCTGTCTCCCTCCCTGGTTCCTGGGACAATGGACAACCCCAAGGCTGGCCTTGGGAGGGCCCCTGGTCCTTCTGGGTGACATCACAACAGTACGTTGGGACCGCAGTAACAGCTGTCAGGAGTCATGTGGCTGTTTGTGTCTGAATGAAGGTGTAGGTAATTCAGGAAGGAACAGACTGAGGAGCTTCTGTGGATGGTTAAGCCGCTGTGCTTCATTCCTTCGGATCCAGATCGTGGGGAAGAACCGGGGGTCCTCCACAGAGAAGGGTGTTCCAGTACGTGACAGCGGACCAGCATCAGGCCTCCAGGGCCACACTGGTTCTGTTGCTTCTCCATGTGTATCTACGTGTAGCTGCAGCGGCTCTGGTGCAGTCTGAGACCGGGGTGTGACTGTAACACAGGACTCGCTGTTAAAAATAACCTCATCACTGCTTGCAGAAGTTGAGCCGAGGAGGACGGGCTGTCTGAAGGAACCTAAAAAGGTCTCCGTGGGCTCTGAGTGTGAGGATGTGCCTGAGATGATCTAAAAACTGTTTCCTGCTCCAACATCGATGTTTAGTCAGACGTGTTTACTAATCCTTCTAAACCAACTAACTAAAACATCCGTCCACGTTTACTTTTGCAGTTCCAGCCCGGTTGTTTGAACCGTTACGGCCCCGTCGCTCGGTAAACATCCGGTTTACGTCCAGGCGTAGGCGGGGCCAGAGTTTTAACCTTTTACCTTTTTATCCTTGAACTGCTTCTTTTAAAGTCTCACCCGGGTTTTTATCACATGCAGCCCTTTGAGAACTCCCAATATAAAGGTTAAATTCATTATTATTATTATTAAACAACCTTCTACAGGAGTTTCGGGGGGGGGGGGGGGTCATACCTGGACGTAATGCTTTTATTTTGCAAGCACTGTTTTGTGCTCATTGTCTCCAATCCCAGGAATGAGAAGGAAAATTGGGGCCGATTGCTATAAATAGTCTTAAGTGCAGCCATACATGGGGTGGAAGGGGATCAGCATCTGTTTTGTGCTCATTGTCTCCAATCCCAGGAATGAGAAGGAAAATTGGGGCCGATTGCTATAAATAGTCTTAAGTGCAGCCATACATGGGGTGGAAGGGGATCAGCATTCCTCAGACGAGAGGAGAATATTTTTGTTACCATCAGCAAGTGCTTCTGGAGCGGCATCAGGCTGGTCTGCCTCCGCTTCGTACTGCTGTCATCTCTCAGGGTAAGTCGCCTTTGTGAAGATTTACTTTTTAATGTTGCCGTAGTGTTGAGGGGAGGCTCAGAGTAGGAGGACAAGTTATCTGGTGTCATGTTGGGGACATGAAGATGTGTTGCTAAGTGAAAGGACCTATCTGGGATCTCAGAGCAGGACACCAGGAGGTCACCGGCTCCTAACCCTAACCCTCTACTCCGCCTGTAGAAATGTGTTAGATGAAACGAGAAGCGTGCAGTTATTTCCCTCAAAGCTGAGAGAGAGTGGATTCTGCTCCAGGGTCGTGTCTTCAGGTTGAGAGCAGCAGGAGTGTGAGCTACCTGTAGGTGGCTGAGCTCGGTAACAGGCTGGTTCTGGAAGCCTCAGGAGACCCAGCATGTTAGTGAACGGTTCATTGTGTCTGTTTGCTGTAATGTGCACAACGTCCGTAATGATGGAGTGCGTTAACACGATGCTTGGTGACCCCCTCCCCTGGTGCTCCCGGTCAGGTCTCCTTGACGCGTCCCCATCATGGCCTCCAAAGTCACGCCGTGGTATAAGAAGACGCACGTGGGCCAAGTTCAAACCGATTTCGCCTATCATCACAGTAAACACGTTGTCACGCAGCAGACAGAAAGGTAAAGTCCCTGCTGCTGCTGCTTCTAACCCAGGTCTGCAGGTGGCGCTCTGCTTTCCGGCTCTTCGTCCGTTTGTCTCAAATCGTCTCATTAGAGTTAGGAGGAGGGTGTTCCCACCTGGTGTGTGAAAAGAAGAATCAGGCAGGATTTACTGTTCAGTACAGAGGATTTATCACACTGCATCTGTGTGTTATTACTGCATTTAGTGTCCTGATAAAACAATAGTAACAGAAGCTCAGAGCCAAGCCCGAGCCAGAGCTCTGCTGCTTTAGCTGAAGAGGGACATGTCTGTGCATCACTGCATGCCCCCCCCCCCCCCGGGTTACGGCCATCACCTGTTTAATGCTGCGCCGCCCAGGTAAGTTACTGCTGTAGGAGAGCTTCGGATGTCCTGCTTGGTTTCTAAGAAAACATCTGGATCATAACTGAGTACCATTCACTAGTTCTTAAAATAAGTGGATTTATTATCCACCGTCAGCCTTTAGCAGTGATCTTAATAATGCGTATCGTCCAATAAGAACCTTCCTACAGGCAACCTGCATGTGTGAGAAGTCACTCAAAGCTGATTTTCTGTTTGTAAAACGGTTTAACAGGATTGTTGATGGTTGCTGTTTAGCTGCAGGGTAGCACGGGACACCGGTGGGTCGTGTAAAACCAAAACTTCTCTCTCCTCCACAGCAAATCAAGCTCCAGATCAGTGAGCCAGGTGCAGGCTCAGGCCACCGCGGATATGGCACAACCAGCCTACACTGTGCCAGTCTTCAGGCAGAGGTGAGTTTTAGCTGCTAGCGGTTAGCATCTTGGTTGTACTCACTGCCCTGGCCCTCCATCAGATGGTTTTAATGTTGGAATGGCGCCAGTTTGAAGGAGTAATCGGATCATTTTGGGACTGGTGGTGGTTCATCAGGCCGTCTGTGACATCACGGTCACATCCTGGCTCAGTTTCTGAGAGCCACAGGAGATGAACTCCAACCAGGGGCAGGGAGCCTGTTCCTCTCACACAGGAAAAGGCATGTTTGGGTTGTAGGCATTTAAACTCTAGACTCGATAAGAGAGAAATCACTTCTTAAGAACTAAACTCTGTGCTAGCTACACGGAGAGACTGGGTGTTAGTGTTTTCAGTCCAGAGGAGGAGGGAGACCTCCTGGATGGGGAGGGGCGGGGCCTGAGAAAGGGTGATAAATTCTGAAGCACATGAGGATATATTCTTCTTCTCTGTTTCCACGTGTCTAAATGATCCCGTACCAGACGTCGAAGGGCAGAACTAATCATTCTAACGAGTATAAAATACCATTTTAATTACATTTAATGTTCAAATTTAGTTAAAAAACACTAAATACCTCAAATAGTGTTATGTTGAGGTTCTTTTTCCAAAGGATGCCACAAAAGGAGATATTTTAAATGAAACACTAAATGCTACATAGTCTGAAAGTGAAAATGTTTATGTTTCTTCCTTTTCCTGCTGTTCTTTTGCTCGTCTGTACGTTTTACTTCAGGAGGAAATACCTGCAGGTAAAATGATGCTCTGCTGCGTTTTACGTCAACAGTAAGGTGGGAGGTTTAGGGTTAGGGTTAGGGTCAGATCAGGTGATCCGTGGCGGTCCGAGCCACCGCGGTGCGCTCTGGCAGCACAGAGCCAGAGAGAGAGGGAGGAGCTGGTTTCAGACTAGATCTGTTTAGCTTAACGGGACTAGCTAAACCACAGCCCAAGAAGCTCAGAAGCCTGTGTGTTCATCAAGTGGGTCAAAAACCAACGGTGTTTAAGGGAATTAGCGCTAACGAGCTAATAACGCTAATACAACTCCTGAAACATAAACCAGGTCCGTATAACCGACGTAACCCTGTCCTCAACAAGCACATCTTCATCCACGCGCTCCGCTCTGCAACAGCTGATGCTGGTGGAAAACACTCACGCAAGTGTCGGCCATGTTGCTCTAACTGTCGAGCTCCTCGGTGATGTCATCAGCGAGAACATCCGGTTAGCCGGTAGTCATGGGCCAGAAGGACACCGTTCAGGCGCTGGCAACGGCTCAGCCGACCTGAAGGGACGGAGCAGCTGAGAGAGCAGAAGGCGTGGCTGAAGCCTAAAGAGGGAGGTGACCGTATGACGTGGTCACCAGCTCCAACAAGGAGCTGCATGGTGGTTGCCTCACAGCGAGATGGTTGCAGGTTTGAATCCTGGCTGCAGCCTTTCTCCCACTGAAACATGCCTCCCTACTTGTGAGTGGGTGTGTGACTGCTAACGTGTCTGTGACCTGATGAATGCTGGAGTTCGTTCTCAGTGACTGAGGATGAGGAACGTTGTTGTGATGGTCAGGAAGAGCTGTTAGAGCTGCCACCGCAGTGGTGCTGCAACATCTTCATTCTTGAGGCAAAGCTGCTAAATTCCCACATTTCCGACGCGCTGAGCTGCATGTGTGCAGCTTAGCTCAGCCGCCGCTCCAGTCCAAGTCAGTGACCGTTGCTTGGTTGTCGTGTTTTAGGACTGCTGAGGAAACTGAAGAATACCAGAGAGTGAGCTCAAATGTTGGAAGAGGACTTGCCGTTATCCAGGAGGAGCTTCACAGGATGAGGATGGCGACCAAAGCTCAGGTGGACAGCCTCGCCATCCAGAAAGAGGTGAGGAGCCAACGAGACGTAAGATGAGGTAGAGCTCTGGTTGTTCTGATGTATCTCAGGAGCTCTGCTTTAGCAGTAATCTATTACTCTAAAGGTCCAGGCTGAAACATTTTCCCCAAGTTCATTTGTTGTAAATGAGTCTCAGATTGGTGGAGACTGCATCCCTGAACAGTTCAGTTCTCACCAACCTGAACGCTTGTTTCTCCGGTCATGCGGTCTTTTGTAATGCATGCTCAGGCGTTTCTCACCTCCCTGGAACACAAAGTCTGGTTTTAGTTAGCCTTAAACCAAGCAACCCTCTCTCTGCTGGGAGCTTGTGGGTTCTCCTGCCAGCTCCTGTTGTAGTCTAGGGTTGGTTTCCTCTGTAAAACCCATCATGCAGGCTTCTGCTTTCATTAATGATTAGATTTATGACAGAATAAAACATTTATTATCTGATGCAGACAAACTCATAGGTGGTAAACTTCATGAGGAGGCGTTGCTTGCTCCAGAACTCCGGCTCCGTTCGGTCCCAACCTGAACCTCCCTCTCTCTGCAGGTTAAGGATATGATGGCCAAGAGGGTGGATCTGCTGGAGGGACTTCCCAAGATGCCAGACTTTCTGGTGGCCCTGAGGCCTCACACGGTGTGGGAGAAGACCCCAGTCAAGCTGTTTTGCACTGTGGAGGGCAACCCGAGACCTATCGTCCAGTGGTCAGAAAGCACACATGTTAGAGCTTTAGGTCTGAAGCAGCAGCTGTCAGATGGTGTAACACCACCCAGTTCCAACATTAGCTGTTGTTTGGACACATAACGTGGTGATTATTACAAACGGTGTGTAAATCCAGCCTGGCAAGCTGTCCTACATGTGTGTAGTCTGGTCTGCATGTGCCAGACAGCGCTGCACCACAGCAGTGTCACGACTCACCGCTACGGAGGTCCTGCTGGTCCGCCATGCGCTGAACAAGACACGACCACGTCCTGTTTCTAAATAACAGACGTAAGAAAAGCCCAAGTCTGAAATGTCCAAAGTTGATGCCAAAGCCGTTTCTAATGAGCGCCATCTTTGTAGTTTTTCTGCATCACAGCTCTAGCCTTAAACCCAGCCAACACACAGAGTGCTGTGACTGGCCAGACTCAAAACTGTTCAGGCCAATGGTAGACCTGCTGAAGCTCGGGGGCGGGGCTAGACCCACCTGCAGCGTAAATCTTTAGCTGCTGATGCGGTTGGTCTAGACTTCGGGGCTAGTGGGAATGGTGGACCGCTGTTGGCTGAACTGGATTGTTTGCAGGTACAAAGGAGGCGTGCCCATCGACCCACCCAACACTCCAGGAAAGTACAAGATAGAGAACAAGTATGGAGTCCACAGTTTGATCATTAGCAGGTACTTAACCCACAACACTCTGGCCCTGACCCAACCACTATTAAACAATGAAAACATGTTCAGTCAATGAAAAGGTGAACGCTACCGTTAGGTTATAGGAACATGAGAATTTGAAGTTGTCATGTCTGGGACGGCTTGCCCTGCGACGGACTGGCTCTCTGTCCAGGGTGTGCCCCGCCTGATTGCCCATCGACCGCTGGAGATAGGCACCAGCCCCCCCGCGACCCTACATGGACAAAGCGGGTTCAGACGATGGATGGATGTCTGGGACGGCCCCACCTTGGTCCGGACCCTTCATGCTGGGTTCTGCTGGGACATGGGTCTGAGCCCAAACCTAGCTCCAGTGACCCCAGTAGTCCTCTAGACCATTGTCACCACCCAGTTGGTTGTCTTTAACCAGAACGGGCCTGTGTGCTGCTGCTGGACTGGGAATAGAACGCTAGCACAGAACGCTGGGAATAGCACGTAGCTCCGCCAGCTGCAGCAGAGGCGTTTCCTCATTTGTGGCCGTTTTCGGGGCTAATCCAGCGGCTCTGGAGGCGTTGTCGTATCTGTGGGTTTCCTCTCGCTGCCTCTGCTGAAGTCAGCTCGGTGCTCTGGTGCATCTGTAGGCTGCTGCTGTTGAGCGCTGCCGCCACCTAGTGGCTGGATTATCATTCACGCACGTAAAGATGCTAAATGATGATGGATCCTCCATCCTCTCGCGTCCCTCCTGACACATCCCCAAGGGGAGGGGGGGTGCACTAACTGTGAGCCACTGTTCTTTGCTGTGTACTCTGGTTCTGTTAGCTTGTAACTGGAGGCTCTTTGAGTCGCCCTCCATCAGATGAAGGTGGATTTACCAACCTGGGGTTGGGGCGAGCTCCCACCTTGAGTGGAGGAGTTCGGCATCTCGGGGTCTCGCTCACGAGTGAGGGTGAGGGGGCAGATATACCGGTGGATCGGGGGTGAGCTGGCGCTATGCCAGACAGGGACGCTTCTGGTTTACGGGTTGGTCTTCGTTCCAACCCTCTCCTAAAAGAACATGCTCCATAAGATGGTGGACACGAGCGGCTGAGGTGAGTTTCCTCTGCAGACCTTAGAGATCTGAGCTCAGGATAATTGTCGAGGTTAGAGGTGGAAGTCAGTGCTCTCGGTGGAGATGTATGCTTCTGGAGAAGGTTTCGTTCTGCTGTCGTAAAGTCCGTCTGCAGGGACGGAGCTGGCGTTCCTCCACCGCTCCTCTCCCTGACGTCTCAGGTTTGCAGCCCGGCCCCACAAGACCCCTCAGCTGTTGGTGTTGAAGTGCTGACCTTTGGATCAGATGAGCTCTGAATTTGTGAGGCTGCATGTGCTCCGAGTTTCTCTCTGAGGCCCGCAACCGTTAACGATAGGAACGGCTGTGTTTTACACAACATCCGTTTCCTCATGACTTTTCCACTCATAGTGCCAGAAGCCTCAGGCACGGTTGGTGAGACTGCCTCCTTGAGGGGGTGGCACTAGCGTTAGCCCCCGGCAGGTCTTAAAATAGTCCTGTGGGGGATGGAGGTCACATGTCTTCCTGCTCCTCTTCAGCAGATGTCAGATCAGATCAGTGTCCAGGGGAAACCCGATCTGTGCTGGGATGGGTTCAACTCCTGACCTAATCGTGTGGAGAAGAGCTTTGGGGGATCAAAATAGCATTGAGCACAACATTAGAAGTAAGATCTCACCTTGACTTTGTGACGGGACCGACTCTCAGAGGTCCGGAGGTCACTCAGTTGAGGCGGCCATCTAGAATGAGACTGCCCAGAAGTTAATGACACGGTTAGCTAGCAGGCAAACAGCTGCTTGAGTTGCTGGACGCCGCTGAGCTGTACATTGTACCGGTCACAATAATTAGATCAGACACAGGTCCAGACCCGAACAGTCCCAAATGGAACCCATAAGGGCTCAGAGATGACTGGTTCTGGTTCTGAAACACTGGTTTGACGTGACTGCATGTCAGAGACACTCTCACAGCAGTGGGTGTTTGATGGGTGTCCACTCTCTGCCTGATCCTCTAGGTGTGTTGTCAGTGATACTGCCGAGTACAGCGCCGTGGCAACCAACCAGCATGGCACCGTCACCAGCAAGGCTACAGTTACCGTCAAGAGTAAGCCTGTCTGACTCTCGCTCTCACGGAGACGTTGCTGCTCTTTGTAAGTGTGTGTTTGTGTCCCACGCAGGAGCGTCCGGAGCTGCAGAGTCCTGCCAGCTTGGTCTGGGTAAGTAAGGGGAACAGTTAGGTCCAAAACAAGCCAGCGCTTTGTCCTTGGTGAACATTCACACACAGCCACATAAGCACAGCGCTCTCATTGGTCCATTTAGAAATATCCAGCATTTCAGCTTCGGTTCAGTCATGACTTCTCTCCACTCGGGCCAGGGCCTCCCACCCAGGTTGGATCATCCAGGGCTCCTAACCAGCTTGGTGGGGTCGCTTCCAGCTCCAACACACCTGACTCAGTAGCTGAATCTCCTGCAGAAGCCTGCTGAGTAAAGCCAGGTGTGTCGGAGCAGAGGAGCACCTGAAACCTGCTGAAAAGGGGCCCTGGACTGCGTCGGCCAATCAGCTCTGCTACTGACGTCATGAAGTCAGACTGGACTGAGCGTGCTCTGCTGAATCAGCTCGGTCTGCAAATGCGTAATTTATCTCGGTGATATGGTTTCTTCCCATCACCTCCATCTTTCTAGCAGCTGCAGTTACCATGGATACGAAGTAAAACCACAGTGGCTGATGGTGCTCT